ATCAGATACAAAAGTTACATTTCTTGCTATATAGGTCTTGCTATGTCTTGGTCTTAACCATCCAGCAGAAAAGTATAAAAACGAGGTATATAAAGTAAAGCTATATTAATACGCTGAGCTGTAAAAGGCTCAAGTCAGTAACTTCTGAGGATGACCCACTAATGGTATAGACTGCTAGACAGTGTTGGATTGTTTAGCTGAATTCAAGCACCTATAGTATAAGGAAATATCATTTTGTATTTATACATACAAAATAGGATAGATATACAGCTACTTTCGCTACCTTCAATGAGAAGAAAGAGGTATACTATTAGTGTTTGGACAGGATATCCTGTCTACTTCTTGTACTATGGATAACCACTAAGAAGGTAAGAATGTACAATGCATTGATTATTGAAACTGTCCTATTAATCAGCTTTGAAACTGTCTCATTCATAGTTGTTTCTCAATAAAATTAAAATAAAATAAAATCTTACTCTCATAGGATAGAAAATACAGAAGAAATGTACAGATATGCATAAATTACCAAAGCTAAATAAAAGATATAAAAAGTCTGAATAAAAAAAAAAGAATTTGCTTTCTATTACCATAGGAAACACAGACTTGCATTTTCTAAGATTTTATATGAACTGAACCATAAAGTATGTATTCTTTTCTCTCTGGCATCTTTCACGCAGCATAGGCAAAGCCTCCGTGTCATCACGTGGAATCAGAGTTCATTTGTTTCTGTTACTGAGCAGCATCCCACTGTCTGGATTTGCCACGGTTTGTTTATCCATTCCCCACTTGATGAACATGTGGATTGTTTTCAGTTTGGGACTATTCCAAATAAAGCTGCTATGAAAATTCTTGTTAAAAAGGGAAAAAAAAGTTCCACTTACTTCCTGCTAATGTAGCCGAGACTTTCCTACCATTATTGTATTGTGTAATGCTTAATAATGTAAAGAAACACGTAAAACATATTTAGTCTTCGAACTATCAATGTAAAACAGAACTGCTGCAGACCAGGAAACACGGCAGCTGTGCAGTCTCATCACTCCTAACTACTCCAAACTATAAATACCCACCCTCTTCACTAGCCAGAAACGTCACAGTGCAAAAGCTGCCTGTGGAAAGAGCCAGCGCTCCCCTCAATACACGTGCCCTCGGCCCCAGTGCCGGCCAGACACCCAGGAAAGGGCGGGGAGAGTGGGGAGCTCACAACTCTCCGCGGCTGTCTGCCTATCCCAGCTCCTAGAGACAGAGTATTGATGCTATACCACAAACATATGCTAATAAAAAGGGCAGACAAAATAAAAAATGAACTGTGCCATTCTATTTGTGTTTCACAAAATGGGAGCACAGAACTGGGCCCGGACGCGGGGAGAGCGGCGGCCTCGGCCTGGCCCCAGCTTGTGCAGTGTGCTGCTTGCTCCCACGGGGCCTGCTGAGTGGGGTCTGCTGAGTGGGGCAGGGACCCCACGTTTCTCCGCATTCTGCATCCTTTCCCACTGTTCCCCATTTCCTAACAGTGAAAGGGAGAAGGCAGTACGAGTGAACTGTGTTAGGAGCGCTAGCAACACGTTCCTTTAGATTAAAGGGCAGAGCCTGCTTTGACTGTCTGCTTCTGCCCACTGTCAGGACAACCCAGGTTTTGAGCTTTGTTTACAACTTTGTTCTCACTTAATGTCTTATCCTTAACAATTGTGGTGTTCACGTGGGCGTACGATGAAACTACTTATGCTGATTTGCACTAGTTGTCCCAAATGCTATGAGGTCTTCACGCAGGGACAGTTGTGGCCTCTTTCCTTTCAGGGTGCACAGTGTGTACACTGTCAAGTACACAGTATGCTGGCCACACCTTATCATCGCTTCCCAGTAGATATTTAAATCATTTTTAAGATTTGCTGTTATAAAAACAAATGTTACAAGAATCTTCCGGTAAGACTTACAGTGGGCATCTGCAAGTTGTTCCTAGAACACGGGCAGCTTGAACAGCATGGGAACCCAACTTGTTACTGCAAGCACCGCACCCATCAGTGACTGGGCCTGGGCCTGCAGAAACCATCCCCGCTGCTTCACATGATTCACAGGCACTGTTGCTTTTTATTCATATGAGAAATATAAATTGGTGTCTTCTGTAATTTAAATTTAATTAGTGCTACTGACTATCGTAGCAGTATTTCATTGGTTTCTTTCATTTGTTTTATACTGTGACTATGGCTTTTTAAAACTCCATGTTGATTCCATATTATTTATTTGCAAAATAATATTTTGTTGGTCATGTGTTTCAAATATATATTACCCATTCGTGACTTGTCACATTATAATAATACAATGTTTTGAGATGAACATTAAATTTCTCTTTTAGTGCTTTTTAATTTAGGAAGTACTTTGAAAGTTAAACCTTTGGTGTTTTCTTAAAGAAATATTTGCTACCTAGAGAAAATAAAAGTGTTTATGGTTTTGTACATTTAAAAATCTTTTATTTTTGTGTTTGATTTGCAACAGGAAACAATTTTCATACTTGTCTATTCTGAGGTCCAACTGCTCCAGTGTTTCCTGGAAATTTTCCTCTCCTTCTTCGATCTCCAACTCTATTGCTACAGAATTGCACAACAGTGTAAGAAAGAACGCAACATGAGCTTGGTAGATTCCTGTCCTTGGTCTCCCTGTGATCTGCTTCACATAAGCTGGAGAACACCTACTCAGTTCCAGATCACGTCTCCCACTTGTTTTGATGGCTT